GGACCTTAAAAAGTGGCACCATTTTTAATGCTATGCTGTTAGTCATTATTGTCATGTTATACAATGTGGAGGCATTCACTGCTCTATGGAAATTATTTCAAAAATAGAAGGTAGCATTAATATGACACAGGAGACTTTTTTATTTGAAATTCATTGAAAACCATAGCAATAAATCTCTACCCTTGATGACTTGAATATATGATTGATATAGTCACATAATTTATTTTTGACAGAGAGACAGAGATGTTTCATCAATTGGTTCACTTCCCATATGCCTACAATATCCAAGACTGGGCCAGGCTGAAGCCAGAAGCCCAGAACTCAGTCTAGACTTGAATCTTGTATATTTGCTTTCTCAGTTGTATACAAATTGTTCTTGGTTGGAAAGAGCAATTAAAATAATAATCAAGTATCATCTACTTATGAGAAAACCAACTTTCTGAGTATAAAGCCATAATATGTTGTTACTCAATTGGACACAAGGCTGAGTGGTCATCTTTCCTGGCTGAAGTGTGAGGAGACAGAATTGGAACACTGTGCAGGGGCTTCACTGGATTCTTCTGACCTCTAATATCCACAGACAGTGTCACCAGTGACACAATCAAATCCCAAAGAAAATGTGATGTTGCAAGAAAATATGCAGTGATATTTAATTTTTTCTTAAATTTGAATGCTCAGAAATGAATTTCTTCTGCCTTCTATGAGCAAAGTAATGTAGGTGTGTGTAGGCCTTTACTAGATTATCTGTGGTAGTTTACACTTGTCCCTATAGAAATATAAAAGACTTAAAGCAACCTTGCAGCTAAAATTTGCTTGATGATATTCTTGCAGGGAAAAATAAAATAAAAGTTTCAGTAAGTCATCATTCTTTTGTTCACTCCATTCTGTGTAGCTCTTACTGTGTGTATCTTTTAACAAATGTGTGGCTTCCCCTTCCAAGTGTGAGTCCTCCCTGAATACTGTGGCTGCCATAGCTTGTATAAGGCTAAAGAAACAGGTAAATGAAAAAATTGGGACATAATTCTTGAGACTGGCCTGATTACAGAACTAGGCTAGGTCTACCCTTAGTCACAGAGTAAAAAGTAAATACTTTGAAATGTATTGTTTCTTTTTTCAGATTAATTCTCCTTTACCTTTCTTTATTTTCATTTTTGTCAAAGTAGAACATATTACGAAGTGTATCCAACATGCAAGTATTTCCCTTCCACTTCAGAGTTTCTCCTCTTTTGTACATTTGAGTTAAAGACATTAACATGTTTCCCCCATCTTTTCCATTTTCCTGAATGCTTTTCTTTTTTTTAAACTTTTATTTAATGAATATAAATTTCCAAAGTACAGCTTATGGATTACAATGGCTCCCCTCCCCATAACTTCCCTCCCACCCGCAACCCTCCCCTTTCCCTCTCCCTCCCCCCTTCCATTCACATCAAGATTCATTTTCAATTCTCTTTATATACAGAAGATCAGTTTAGCATATATTAAGTAAATATTTCAACAGTTTGCACCCACATAGAAACACAAAGTGAAAAATACTGTTTGAGTACTAGTTATAGCATTAAATCACAATGTACAGCACATTAAGGACAGAGATCCTACATGAGGAGTAAGTGCACATAGGATTAGAAGGCCTTTTTAGTGAATGATTTTCTTAATACCAGTCTGTTTGGAATGTGTTTTCTTCATTATTTTCTCTCCTGGGTGGACCCTTGCTCATTTCAGTTCTGATCACTATCCAGTGTTCAGTACCTTTGATGGGTCAGGCTTCATGAACCACAGATAAGGGGAGCTAAGTGGAGTCTGCTCTTCCTTCTTCATCTGTTCTCCGATGAGTAAACTTCCATCTGTGGGCCACTGTGGACTATGTAGTCCAATAGTCACCACTGAGTAGTATATTTCTCCATTTCCCCAAATCTATATTAGGCTTATCTATACAAGATGGTTTGTAGCATAGACTCCTCAGAGGATCCTTTTTTCATTTTTCTGGCAGGTGTCTGCCTGATACACACACACACACACACACACACAGCTCTAAGGGAACAACATTACTCTAAATGACAATTTAAAGGAATTCTCACATCTCAGTGAATGCAGTATTCCATATAATAGTTTAATTTTGAATATGGCATCCCATCTCTGTATTCAAAGTAATACCTACTTAGAGTAAGAGGTTATCTCTTTAAAGTGATGCCTTTAGCATATCCAAAAAACCACTGTAAATATTTAACATTTTATTTTATGGGCCTGAGTTATAAAATGTACCAGTCTCCTCTACAGCTTTTGTTCATTTGGATATGAGGGTGGAAGCAGAACAGTATTGGCAGGGGAGAACTTCAAATTAGTTTTTTTCAGTTTATTTGAAAAAGATTTAACCCTGTGGATGACCTAAGGTTTTTGAAAAGCTAATTTGCTCTGCTTGGGACTAGACCCGAATCATCAAGTAGTGTAATGTGAGCTGCATATATAATTTAACATTTTTCTAGTAGCCACATAAAAATAAGTAAAAGAAAAAATATGAAATTAATTTTAATAAAATGTCTTAACACAATGTATTATCAATCAGGTATCAAACAGAGAAGCAGAACCAATAGGATATTATGCAGACACATTTATATGTTAAAAATGTATTACGAACGATTGACTTATGTGAGTTTGGAGACTGGCTAAATAAGCTTGAACCCATAGGACAACAGTCAGGAAGGGAAGATCATGGGCAAGCCTCAGCCCATGGGCATGGACCAAAACTGTCATCCACAGGCAGAATTTTTTCCTTTTGCCTGGGAAAATTCAAGTCTGCTTTTAAAGATTTCCTGTGCAGTCAGACAAGCCAGCTCAGAGTATCCAGAATTATATTGCTGCTTTTTTTTTTAAAAAAAGGTTTATTTTATTTATTTTAAAGACAGAGTTACAGTAAGAGGTAGAGACAGAGAGAGAGGTCTTCCATCTGCTGGTTCACTCCCCAGATAACCGCAATGACCGGAGCTGTGCAGATCTGAAGCCAGGAGCCAGGAGCTTCTTCCAGGTCTCCCAAATGGGTCCAGGGGCCCAAGCACTTGGGCCATCTTCCACTGCTATCCCAGGACATAGCAGGGAGCTGGATTGGAAGTGTAGCGGTGGGACTAGAACCAGTGCGCACTTGGGATGCCAGCACTTCAGGCCAGGGCTTTAACCCGCAGCTCCACAGTGCTGGCCACTATTTCTCCTGAAAATCAATTGATTGTGGATTTTAATTGCATTGGTCAAATAGCTCTAATTAACTCCAAAGTGTTCATATGAATAACTGGAAATAACAATGCAGTCAATATGACTCTTCAATAAAACCATCACACTTAAAAATTCCACAGTAATATTATGTCAAAATATAATTATTGAGATACATCTTTTTTATACTAAATCATCATTAGCTAATGCACCCTTTATACATACAGCACATTTTAGTAAAAAATGACCACATATCATTTGTCTAATATGCACACATGCCTAGCGGCTATTGTATTGGACAATAGAGACCTAGGTAGTGACGAACAGTGATTGTGTATCTTTAGAGCTGTGGTTCTCAACAAGGATTCATTTTACCCTACAAGGGACATTTGGCAATATTTGAAGTCATTTTTCATTGTCATGACATGGGGGTTACTGACACCTTAATATTTAGAGGTCAACCATGCTGCTAAAACTCAACTGCATAGAATATCCTGCATCCCCTCCCCAATACTGATTCACCCAATCCAAAGTGTCCATAGTCCTAAGGTGGAAACTGCTGTGCAGTAGAAATTGGAGGTGTTAAGGGCAGAGATACACAAAACGGTGAAAGAGGCAGGGAGATGGAAGTTTCCTGTGCTCTCTGGAGCGCTTTCCTTGTACCTGAGGGGTTTTGTCAGTGAGGCGAACATGCACCTGACCTCCTTCATATCTCTGTGACCATATGCAAAGTCAGGGATGTGACAAAAGTAGAAGAATGAACCTCTAAATAGCCCAACAACTGATTTAAGGAGCAAATGAGGGAGAGAAGTCTTCACAGTGACATATATGTTTTTTTCAGTGGGTGAATGAAAGTCCAGTCAATAGCTGTATTTCTGAAGATGTCTGGGGTTTTCTTATGGTTGATCTTGATTTAGTAGACTTCCAGAAAAATCACAAAAATGCAAATGCAGATTTACAAATGAAGAATTGAAAATGTGTACAGTAATTAGCAGCATCTCAGACCATCTGTGGAATAAAGTTGTGATAAGTAAATAAGTAAACTTCATTAGCATTTTCTCTAAGCAAAGCTATGATATTTAAGATTAAGTCACTTTTCAGAGGTAGTAATCATATTTATAAACTCTAACCTCAAATTTTCTTTCCAAATTAACTGCAAATTCAAAATTGACTTCATTTTCTAAGGCTTGGCAATGTATGTATACTGAAGCTAGCAGCAAATTGAGCGTGTTTCTTAAAACCTGATATTTAGGAAAAAACGTACAAATAACTTATTCAAAAAAATGTGTCATATCTACTTGTAGTAATTATTGGTTAAATGCAATGCCAAATGCTGATTATAAACATAGCTTACAGTCAATACTCTTGAGAAATATTTCCTAGTAGATGGTTGTTACAGTTCATTTCACAAATTCTTAATTTAATACATTAAAGTAAATCTTACTAAATCTAAATGACATTCTTATGAACGATTCTTAATTTGTATTGAGAGTAATTGAAATAAAACATAATTATAGTTTGTGATCAGTTTTAGTACTGAAATTGGTGACAACATCTCTGTCAATATACATTTTTAAGCTTTTCAATAACTTTGATTTTCAGATTGCTTTCATTTTTTCTGATTTCAGTAAATAATGATATATGTAACAATATATTACAGACTCTTTCCTTTTAAAAATCAATACGATTTTTCATACAATCCTTTAGATTTTGTGATGCAATCTCAAAGTTTATATCATAGCTATGGTTTAAATATCATATGTTTCAGAGATTTTTAAATCATAAATTATATTTTTCCCTAGACATACACAAAGAAAAGATTGAAAAACAGGAAAAACCTGAGAGGAAAATACCAACTAAAGGTAAATGTCTTATTTTTAAGTTTATTATTAATATTTAAAAGACATAATTGATGCATGTTGATGTGGGAGGAAGAAAAATTTTTTAGAGATTTTGTTTAAAAATTTTTGATATTGTTGAAAAATACATTTCCCCTCAGCTGACTTCTTGTATGAATATATAAATAGTATTTAATGATTGGACTCAACAACTTTAGAGCTGTGGTTTGACCATGGTCAAAAATATTTGACCATCTTTAAATTATTTATAAGTTTTTACTTACTATTTTTTGATTTAGTGAGAAAAATGGCTTTACTCATTTTAATAAGATGCATATATGTCAGAGTTAAATTTTCTTTTAATATGAATTTCCCATAGGGTACAGTGTTTTTACAATCTTCAGTGTGGAAATGCAGTCATATTATCTGACTACAGAATGGCTAGTCCAATAGCTCTCTTGCATAGCCTTATGGGGTAGATGGACAGTGACAAGATGATGATTAATCTCCCTTTCAATTGAACTGAATCCAGTAACTGCAGTCTTGCAGCAGAAGCACATTAATAATGGTCAGCATTGTCCTGCTCATCTTACAGCATCACTTTTCTGAGGGTGACCCACGTAGTCATAAAACTTTAAAGAAATTATAGGAAGCAAAGACATTCAAAAGGACACAGGTTTCCCAATGTCCAGCTATACCTGATTTTGAATAAGCCAGGGAAAGAAACAAATTTCCTAATCATATTTGGGGGATACAGAAAGAAAAATGAAAGAATTTCCCTGAGATAAAATTAAATATGTTCACCATTGGTTACATCAAAAACTAGCTAATTCACAATTAGCTATAGAAAATAACATAGTGCAGATTGGAAAATTTTCAGTAATGGAAGTTTTAATTAACTTTGAATTTCACCAGCATGTGAATCTGTATTAAAATGCCACATTGTTTAAACACTCTGCACATATTATGTCTTTAATCCCAGTGTTTGAGTTTACTCCAGATTTTGTTCGCCAATTCTTACACAATCAGAACATTTAAGTTCACTCAATGGAAACCTATTTATATTTGTACTTAGGGAGCTAATGTCTTCTTACTGTTCCCTTTCCTTTTTTGATTCTTAACCCCTTTTGGACACAGCTCTTGGGCATGGCTTGACAAAGGGAACCATGACTGACCTGGCTGTGTGCTTCTTTCTGTTGGAGGTTAAACAGAAACACAACTGGTTCCACATGATTGGAGTCTCTGCTTTTTTATCTTACAGACTGTACTATTAATTTAAGAGCAATGCTGTTGGAGTGGATGTGGTGATGCTGATGGTGACATTTGCATTTTCGACTTAGCTCTATTAGAATCTCCCTGTTGAAGGCTTTGAGCAGTGGGCTGTAGAGTCTGTTCATTAAACAAGCAAGTCTTCCATAATTAAAACAGTGAATTTGGCTGAAGTCTAAAATAAATTTCTCAAAGCCTGGGCTGGAGATTAGTAACCTGAATATATTTCTTGATTAGAGCAAATGCATTTTGGAAAAGTGAATAATTTTCTAGAGAGGGAGAGAGAGAGAGAGAGAAACAGAGAGAAATGGAGCTTCGGGGTGTCTAGCACTGAACTGAGCATGACAGATCATATATTTTCCCACAATTTTCCTGTGTTAATATGAACAAAAATTTCTTTTTTCATTTGTATTTAAATTAGAATAATGTCTAATAGCTCAATGAAAATAAATATGGTTTTATAAATCTTCATAAAAGCAAATAAGTACTTTCTCCTGTATGTCACATTCCACATCAGTTTTAAAGTTGTATATGAGGAAGAGTGGCAAATTTAAACTATAGTAATTGAACTCATAACAAACGATATGCTATCTTCAAATAATAATATTCTGCGGTGTTTATAAATAATTGGACAAATATCTGACTCTACAAAATTAATTATGCTAAATAATTTTAGGTAGAGATATTTTTTTAAAAAAGATTTATTTATTTATTTGAGAGGTAGAGTTACAGAAAGAGAGAGGAAGAGACAGAGAGAAAGGTCTTCTATCTGTTGGTTCACTCCCCAAATAGCTGCAATGGCTGGAATTGAGGGTGATTTGAAACCAGGAACCAGGAGCTTCTTCATGGTCTCCCATGCAGGTGCAGGGGCCCAAGCACTTAGACCATCTTCTACTGCTTTCCCAGGAGAGAGCAGACTTCTGAATCAGAAAAGGAGCAGACTAGAAAGGAACTGGCACCCATATGGGATGCTGGCGCCACAGGTGGAGACTTAGCTTACTATGCCAGAGCAATGGCCCCCAGAGATAAAATTTTGTGATAATGGAAACTAGATCACATCCTATTATCAATTTATTTCTCTTTTTCAAGGGATTAATAGTGTTCTAAAATGTTTTAGAAGTGTAGCTATCCTGGAAAAACCTCTGGGAGTTTAGACATAGGTGATTTATGAGAACTCATCAAACGGAATACAGAGAACCAAAAATATGTAATTCGAGGAAAAATATCCTTGAATTATATATTACACATATATTTTATATGCATATATATAAATTTCCAAAACAATTCTTTGTAAACCTGCTAACTAAATCATTTTTAAATTGTCTAAGAATTAATCAGTTCCAGTTCTTTGTTTCTTTTGTGTTTTTCTTTTCTTTTTTTTTTTTTTTAAATTAGATACTTTTTGTTGTTATCCTCATTAAATGACTTCAGGTAATCATATGAGGTTAACTTTTATTTCTACTCTGTCCTGTTTATTTTGCTTGCTGTTTTTAATTAGGGAAGAATGTAGCAGTTTCATGAAGCTAAGCCTTTAATTCATAATTTGGCATTGAGTCCCTTATGGCTTTAAATTATAAGCTTTGACATAATTAAGGCTTACTTTACCTTTGAACTAAATTAAACTTTTTTTCCCATGCAAAAGGGGTAAAAATTTATTTTATGAATATGATCAGACCAATGCATGCACTTGTGACCTTGTATTAAATTCACATGGTAATACAGTGAAATATTAAATTGTTTAGAGGAAAATTACACCTAAGTTTATCTATTTTTGGATTACTAAATGTCATTCACTAAATTGATGTTCTTATAAGTGGCCTCTGTTGGGCAGACAGAATGAGTTCATTACACTAGGATGGTTGTGGATACACAGCATTGTGCTCTACTGCAACTTAGTTTGAAGAATGAAGATTTCATATCAGAATGATGGTTTCTAATGAAAGCTTTTATAAGACAAAATGATCTTGCACAATAAATTTGCATTTGAAGCCTAAATTTCTAAAAGATAAGCCTTTCTGACCTATAAGAACTGATAAACATAAAAATGGAGGTGAATAAAACCCGAGATCTCAGCTTTCTCATATTTCAGATGAATGGATGCCCAGTGAAGGATGCAGATCTACACAAAAAATGATAGGAAATGATCAGAATACTCCAGTAGTCAGCAATATAAGGATTCTTTGTAAGCATAAACAATTCTGTTCACAAATGCCTTAAATGAGAAGATATATACAGACAGACTCACTGCAAGGAATTATAAATTAATATTTGTTGTAAATAAAAGATCTCATCATGATTGTTAAAGGGCATTTTCATGACCCATGGCAAACACTCAGTCATACTTGTTGAATAAGTAAAATTAGAGCAGTGTATGATTTTGACAATGGAGGGTATCACTATTATTTTCCTCCACTATTATAAAGGTTTTGAGTTATCCAATCCAGGTTAGATACCAAATGTATTATCTTCTGGCTCCGAGACTTTGGCCAAAGTGGTTAATCTTTGTTTGTGTCAATTTCTCTCTCTGTGAAATGCTGATGACATAGCTGTCATGATTAAATGATTAAGAAATTTTTGTGTGGAATTTTTAAAAGAATTCCGGGTTAACTTTAAACAGTAACTTTCAGCTTTTTCATTAGTTCTCTTAGTCTAATTTTATGTTTAAATAGCTAATAGTTCCTTTTTAAGTTTCTTATAAGCATTCTTTCTTTCCCTGTATTTGCTACATATGTTAGAAGAAGTTAAGATCGTGTGTTAGAAAAATTTTAGGCCTTAAGATTCTACAACACAGCACTAAATTGCCATAAGTGCTGAATCACCCCTGTATTAGTGCTTCTACTCTTTTTCTAAAAAAAAAAAAAAATTATTCCTCTTTTTGAAAGTTAGCTTACAGAGACAGAGAGAAAGAGAAAGAGAGAGAGAGAGGGGGAAAGAAAATGGCTGCAATGGCCAGAGCTTAGCACATCCAAAACTAATGACCAAGAACTTTCTCTGGGTCCCCCACGTGTGTACAGAGGCCTGGGCCATCCTCTGTCATTTTCCCAGGCACATCAGCAGAGAGCTGGAGGGGAAGTGGAACAGCCAGGACTCCAGTCAGCACCCACAAGTGATGCCGGTGCTGCAGATGGTGTCTTTATCTGCTTTGCCATAGTGCTGACCTGGTGGTTCTCCTCTCAAAATTGGATAATATATGAGTGTTTGCATATAATGAACCAAATCCTATGCTTAATCTTGCCTCTAGTATCTCATTTAAAGATCACAGAATATTCTAAGCCTACCCTAGCTTAATTTTTTATTCAATGTCTTACATTAAGTAAGTTATAGCCAAAGTTTATACATACACACACACATACAGAGAGAGAGAGAGAGTGCGTGCAAGAGAGAGGGAACTATCCATTGATAAATTTCCCAAATGTTCACAACAGACAGGGCTGGGCCAGGCCAAAGCCACAGGACAAGAACTCTGAGTCTCCCAAGTAGGTTGTAGTGGCCCAAGCACAGAAACCATCTTCTGGTGCCTCCTATGATGCATTGGCAGGAAGCTGGATCAGAAGCAGCGTAGCTGGGACTCTAAGCTGTATTCTGATCTGGAAGCCAATGTTGTAAGCTGCAGCTTAATGTGCTGCAAAGCCCACAATGCCCACTATTTCCACATTTAACAAAGCTGAGGTGTGAGTCGACAAGGCTATTTGTAGTAAAAATGTCAAATGAATCATCATACCTATATTTCTTTCCTGTAGGCCTAAAAACACGTA